AGAGGAAAAACAAGCAGAGCAGCTTATGCATAGAGGAAGCAACATTTGAATCTCCAAATCCCGTCCCCTCCTCGCCGCTCCCAGTGCACATGCCTGTTGCTAGCACCTGAGAGTTCACCATTAGTCCTTCATTTCTTTGCATCGAAGTAGTACTCCAGTTAAAATGTGATTTAAGAAAAAATTTGCTTATTGTGCATTTGGATTCCCTTTATGTGAAATGTCCAAAATAGAGAGACAGAAAGTAGATTTGTGGTTTCCTAGGATTAGGGGGGATGGCTCAAGGATACAGGAGGATTGTTGGGGTGGGTTTTTTTTAAGTTGTGGTAATGTTTTATAATCAATTTAGTGATGGTTGCACAATTATGTTAATACACTAAAAGCCATTGAGCTGTACAGTTGGAATGGGTGAATGGTATGGTATGTGCATTATGTCTTCATAAAGCTCTTAGGGAAGAAAGGGGAGGGGAGGGGAGGGAAGGGGAGGGGAGGGAAGGGAAGGGGAGGGAAGGTGGGAGAGCGGCCTTCATCAGCCCTGTGATGGAAGACACCACTTCTGGTACTGCTCCTACTTGTCCCCTCATCACTTTCAGACCTGCCCCTCTTTCTGTCACTCCATCAGCCCATCTTTTAGTCCTTCCACTGATCCCTTTCTTTAACAACCATCCGAGCTGATCTTCACTGAGTGCTGACTATGTGGTTGGCACTGAGCTGTTTTTCGTCTAATTCCTCATTGAGTTCATGTGCTCACAAAGCTCACTAACAGAGGTCGCCCTTTGCCCCAGAGCAGAAGGTTAGGGAGATTGAAGTACTTACAGCTACTTCCAGGCCCTTCCACCAGCATGTCCTTCTCATAAAACCAGCTCATCCTCTGATGTCCCACCCACCCACCCTCATTCCTCTGTGTTATCTGCCAGCCCACAGGATTCCTTCCAACCCCAACCTTCCTCCAGACTGTGCACACCCAGATTGCTCACGAGGTCCATCCCCACACTTTGCCCTGCTGTCACCTTTTCACAGCTAGGCTGATAACTTATCAGCTTACAGTTCTCAGATCACCTCAGCACTTCAGCCAGCCAGAGGAGAGGCCACACCTGAACCTTGTCATCCTTCAGGGCTGCTCTGACCCTGAGATCTCAGGCTCCTGACAGCCCTCTCCTATGTAATGGCCCAGCTTTCATTTTCCCCATCCATCCACTCATTGGAGCTCATTTTCTGATTTCATGATATTTTTTCATCCAGCCCCCAGATCACTCCCCAGCATCACTACTGCATTTGAACTCTTCTTCCTGCTTGAAGTTAGGGCCCCTCCAAGAACTTGCTCCTTCTGTCCCACTACTCATCATCTTCTTTGCATCTCTTAGCTCTTCATTTCCACTAGGCTGCTTTCTTAGTCTACAAAGATCTCTATTCTAAAAGTATGTATTAGTCCATTCTCAGGCTGCTATGAAGAAATACCCAAGACTAGATAATTTATAAAGAAAAGAGGTTTAATTGACCCACAGTTCATCATGGCTGGGAAGGCCTCAGGAAACTTACAATCATGGAGGAAGGGGGAGCAAACATGTTCTTCACATGGTGGCCAGAGGGAAAAGTGCTGAGCTAACACAGAAAGGCCCCTTATAAAACCCTCAGATCTCATGAGACCTCACTATCAGGAGGAACAGTATGGAGGGTAACTGCCCCAAAGATTAAATTACCTCCCACTGGGTCCCTCCCATGACACATGGGGATTATGGGAATTACAATTCAAGTTGAGATTTGGGTGGGGACACAGCCACACCATATCAAAGTCCTTTGTAAATTATGCCATAGAACTCTCTTGTTTCCTTTGCCACCATACTTCATGTTAGAGTTATGTTCTTATTCTCTCTTTTTAGAGCAGTTTTTGTCTTAATGCATCATCTGTGACCACAAGAAATAAAGAAGTTTTTTAAAAGAAATGGGCTGGGTGGGCCAGCTAGGACCGAAGTGGCTGGGGTCCAGTGGAATGCCACCTCATGCCAGTGGGGTGCCCAGCACCCCTCCCTCCTGTCTGTGGGGCCCCCAGCAGGGGAGGAGCCTCAAGACCATGCAGACACGAGGGTAGGCCCCCAGTTTGCTCCTAAGGCTCAGAGCAGGGCCAGGGACCTGGCTGCCCCAGGCCAGAGCAGCCTCTAACCCCCTGGCATCATGGACTACGGGCACTCCAGACCTGGGGTCGTGGAGAGGTTCGTTGATTGACTGCACAATGGCGACCAAGTTGCAAGCAACATGCACTCAGACTCCTGCGAGTTCCTCTAAGTTCTTAGAGGACTGCTTTGCCTTTTGATCTGAGAGTTGCAAAGTTCCATAAAGAATGGCCCTTGTGGATAAGCACAAAGTCAAGAGACAGCAATTGGACAGAATTTGTGACGGTATCATGAATGGACTCCTGCACTCCCGACCCTTGTGGCACTCTGAGATTGCACCATGGAGACACCTATCCTGAAGGACCTGGCCACTGTGGCCTTCTGTAACAAACAGTCCTTGCAAGAGAACCACGAGAAGGTTTTAAATGAAGCCGTGGCTGCCAAGATGTACCACCGTCACCCTAACCAGGGAGGACCTGGAAAAGTTCAAGGCCTTGAGAGTGATCGTGTGGATAGGTGTGGCTATGACAACATGGACATCAAGGCCGCCTGCAAGCTCAGGATTCCTGTGTGCAACATCCCGTCAGCAGCCGCAGAAGAGACAGCCAGCTTCACCATCTGCCACATCCTCAGTCTGTACTGGAGGAGCAAGTGGCTGTGCCAGGTACTGCGGGAAGGCACATGGGTTCAGAGCGTGGAGCAGATCCGCGAGGTGGCCTCAGAAGCCATCTGCATCCGTGGGGAGACGCTGTGGGCCTCATCAGCTTCCGTCACAAGGGGCAGGAGGTTGCAGTTCAAGCCAAGGCCTTTACATTCAGCATCATATTTTATGACCCCAACTTGCAGGATGGGATAGAGTGGTCCCTGGGCATTCAAAGGGTCTACACCCTGAGGACTTGCTATATCAGAGATCAGAGTGACTGGGTCTCCTTGCACTGCAATCTCAACGAACGTAACCACCACCTCATCAATGACTTTACTATAAAGCAGATGAGGCAGGGAGTATTCCCTGTGAACACAGCCCGTGGTGGCCTGGTGGATGAGAAAGCCTTAGCACAGGCCGTCAAGGAGGGCAGGATCCTCACACTGGCTGGTACAGCGAGCAGGCGAAAACAGAGATGAGGGAGGCAGCTGCCACTGAGATCCGTCGTGTCATCACAGGTCGCATCCCAGAAAGTTTAAGAAACTGTGTGAACAAGGAATTCTTGGTCACATCAGTGCCTTGGTCAGTAGTAAATCAGCAAACAATTCATCCTGAGCTGAATGGTACCACATACAGATATCCACCAGGCATCATGGGTATGGCTCCAGGCAGATTCCCTGCAGCCACGGAAGGGATTGTCCCTGGAAGCATCCCAGTGACTCACAACCTCCTGACAGTGGCACATCCTTCCTAAGCGCCCTCTCCCAACCAGCCCACAAAACATGGGGACAATTGAGAGCACCCCAAGGAGCAATAGCAGAGAATGCTGAAAGGTAATCATTCAGATGCTATTTGGGATCAAGAGACAGTGAAAATTAGATGAACTAAGAGAAAAAGAATCTAATGGTCTTTTTTTAACTGATTCTGGACCTATGCATTGTTGATGTTGCAGTGTTGAAACTACAAGAGCTAGAAAACTGAAGATGCGTCTGCTTACAGAAGCGCTGAAAGACAAAGACGTGATTTCTTAATGACCAACTTTGGTTATTGCGTGTTAAGTTTTTCATCTGTCCATCAAATCACAAAGCATAAATAGAGCTTTTTCTTTTATCAGTCCCGTGGGCACAGCAGGTCCTGAACACCCTGCACTAGAATGTTGCATCAAGAGTTGAAACATCAAAATTAAAAAAAAAAGAGGAAATCCTCATCCTGACTCCCTTCAGTCTACAAGGGCTGGTTACCTCTTTTTGCTAATAGGAAGATCACATTACTACAAAATGGGGAGAAAACTCTTTGCCTGTGGTGGACACCTGCACACATAGGATTGAAGACAGTACAGGATACAGAGAAACGTGTCTCACAGAACTACATACTGAGCGGGAAAGTTGGTTGTAAAACCCTCTGATGATGCAGAAAGAAAGTATTAAGTTTCATAAGCTATTTGTACTCAAATATAGTTTCTCAGTTTCAGATCCTCTGGAAAGTCTTGAACTAAAAGGGTTTAAGAGGAATGATGCTGCATTTCCTTATGTCTCAGGAAACACTTTTTATAGTAACTTGTCAGCTTGTCTATGAACAAACCCACCTTTTCAGACTTTCATGAAGTCTTCTTTTCATGTGATACTTTATTCAAGAACACTTCTGATGTATTAGATGTGACTGATTTTAACAAATCCTATTAGATTTGTATCAACTAGTTACAGGTTCTATTCATAATCTGTTGTGAATCATTGCCTTTTTGATTAAAAAGATGCCTATTTTGAGCCTTTGTGAGGGTACAATCCTGTTTTTGTGACAAAAGAAAAACTTTAAAATTGTCCCAAGCAGAAAAATAATGGCTAACAGAAGTATGTTTTATTTTAGTGTGAGTTACGATTACTGTATTTGTTTATTGAATAGGTGGACATTTAGTGTCCAGTGCAGTTTTCAATAAAAAGTAACTAAAGTTTTTTTTTAAAAAAAGAAAGAAATGGCTTTGGCAGATCAAATGGTGAAGGCCACAGCAGAGTTCAATAGTCATGAAGAATATGAGGTCTATCAGGTAAGCTGGCTACTTCTAACCATCCAGGACAGTTTAAAGTAATATAATAAAAAGCTCAGGGTTCTAAATTTGTGGCTAAAAATACAGCCAGAGAACCAAGGCTTTCCTATAATTGTCCTAAAAGAATGTCTTATTATTATCCTAAAATAATATCTTAACTCTTAGAGCTGGTGAGTTGATGTAGCTAAAATTAGACACAGACTCTTACCTTATTGGTTGCCGATTCACAACACAGATTGAATTCATAGCCTCACCCGATTTCACATGTGAAAGTTAGGGCAGTGATTAGGAAAGACCATTCTGTAAGATTAGAATGGTGACATTTAGGGGATCTCAGTTAATTTTGAAGCCACTTAACCCCCAACTCTGCCAAGCTCTCTCACTAGTAGAAACAATTCCTCTTACCCTGCTTAACGAGGGTGGTCCTGCCACCTGGTGGAAGACTCTATGACTGTTCTCCACCCCCACTGCTTTATATATCCTCCAAATCCATTACTAGAAACACTCTCTGTGCCCAGGGAACCAATTGTAAAGTTATACCCAGGCAATGCTTACATGACAAAACATGCAAATTTGTATCTCCATTTAAAGCCTGGAGAATAGGCATAGGATTATGTTCTAACCATGCTTGGGAAGGGGAGAAAAGCATAATTTTAATTCTGGCTAAATATATCAGTATGGTTGTGCTTACCAGAGATTCTGGAGCTGACGTACACACTCAGTAATCTAATACAAGTTCTATGGTTACTTTAGTAGATAAACTGAAGCCTGGATTCCATAATAGTCAAATGCAATTGAGATGCCAAAATATTCCTAGATATAATGTAGAAGACATCCAAAGATTTGGCGAGCTAGATACATTGAATCGATCACATGTGACTGGCTTATCCATGCTTTAACTACAGGAATACCTCCGAGATAGGCAGCTTGTCAACCTTCACCCTCCTCTCACCCTCCACCTTCAAGTCGGCCCCAGAGTCTATTGTTCCCTTCTTTGTGCCCATGTGTACTCCATGTTTAGCTCCCACTTATAAATGAGAACATGTGGTGCTTGGTTTTCTGTTCCTCTGTTAATTTGCTTAGGATGATGGAGTTAGCCTAATTCTTAGAGATCCTAGGATTTTGGGAATGGTAAATGAGCATTGGCTTCAACTTAAGGTCACCAGCTGCATTATCCCCTAACAAGAGAGTCGGCCTATTCTTTGAAGCTCTGAAGCCAGGTATTGACTCCTTCTCTCTAGCTATGAAACCCTGATACAGTTTGGATTTGTGTCCCTGCCCAAATCTCACGTCAAATTGTAATCCCCAGTATGGGGCCTGGTGGGAGGTGACTGGATCACGGGAATGGTTTCTTATGGTTTAGCACCATCCCCCTCATGCTGGCTTGTGACAGAGTTCTCATCTGCTTATTTAGAAGTGTGCAGCATCGCCCTCTTTGCTCTCTTCCTCCTGCTCCCGCCATGTAAGATGTGACTGCTTCCTCTTTGCCTTCCGCCATGATTGTAAGCTTCCTGACAGCCATGCTTCCTGTACAGCCTGTGGACATGTGCATCAAACTTTTCTTCACAAATTATCCAGTTTTAGGTATGTCTTTATAGCAGTGCAAGAATGGACTAATACAAGCCCCTAGATGGCATCTTCTTCCAATGAAAAGCTGCTTCATCTCCGTTGAAAATCTGTTGTTTAGTGTAGCTGCTTTCCTGCACGATCTTAGCTAGATCTTCTGGATAACTTGCTGCAGCTTCCAAACCATCCCCATGATCCAATCACCTTCCACCAGGCCTCTCCTCCAACACTGGGGATTATAATTCAACATGAGATTTGGGCAGGGACACAAATCCAAACCATATCAGAGTTTCATAGCTAGAGAAGGAGTCAATACCTGGCTTCAGGGCTTCAGAGCTTCTGCAGTTCGGCATCATCACTTGATGCCTAACCCTTCACTTTTATGTTATGAAGACAGCTTTTTTCCTTAAACCTCATGAACCAACCACAGCTAGCTTCCAACATTTCATCTGCAACTTCCTCACCTCTCTCTGCCTTTAGACAATTGAAGAGAGTTACAGCCTTGCTTGGGATTAGGTTTTGCCTTAAGGGAATTTTGTGTCTGGTTTTATCTTCTAAGCGGACCAGTAGAACTTTCTCCATGTCAGCAATAAGGCTTTTTCACTTTCCCAACGTTTCTTAACTGGGATAGGACTTTAAATTTTCTTAAAAATTTTTCCTTTACATTCACATCTCAGTTAACTGGCACAAGAAACCTAGTTTTTTACCTATCTTGACTTCAACATGCCCTCCTCACTATGCTTACTCATTTCTAGCTTTTGATTTAAAGGGAGAGATATATGCAAGTGTTCTTCACTTGAACACTTAGAGGCCATTGCAGGTTTATTAATTGGCCTAATTTCAGTCGTGTTGTGTCTCAGGGAATAGGGACGCCAGAGGAGAGGGAGAGAGACAGCCAATTGATGAAGCAATCAGAACACACATAACACTTATCGAATAAGTTCATCATCTTATATGAGCACGGTTCGTGGTGCCCCAAAACAATTACAACAGTAATATGAAAGCTCACTGATCGCAGATCACCACAACAGATATAACAATAAAGAAAAGTTTGAAATATTGGGAGAATTACCAAAATGTGACACAGAGACATGAAGTGAGCACATGCTGTCGGAAAAATGTTGCGGATAGACTTGCTCAACACAGGGTTGACACAAACATTCCATTTGTAAAAGCACAATGTCCGCCAAGTGTAATAAAGCGAAGCACAATAAAACACATCATAGCAGTATATTCCCTGGGAGGGACTAGAGGACGCTCCCTTTATCTAGAGAGAGACAAATACTTTTGATGAGGAGAGTACCAGCCTCCTTCAAAGGTGCTACAGCTGCAGCATAGCATATACGCTGGGGATGATGAGGGAGATACTACCATTGCATGTGTTCCTGAAGTTTGATGGCGGTAATGAGATCCGAGCATTGACTATGTAGTAACACACAGGGACCACAAGTGAAGGGGACATTTAAGGCAACAAGGCCAGAGTAGTAGTCGGAATAGACTGACACACAGAGACCTGTGCTGGTGGCTAATTGGCCATGGATACCAACGACTACAATATACAGGGCATTGCATTAAGGTCCTATTTGATTGCAGAATCAGGGGGGTCATAACTTTTCACTAAATTCCCACACTAAAGTCAGATGTCTAGAAATACTGTGTACTCTGTAGCATATGACATTGCAAGTTTACATTGCAAATCTTCCTCCCAATTTTCCCCCAGGGGAATTGTGGTCATTTAGTAGAATGACTTTGCACTGAGAAAAGAGAAATATCACACTTCTCAGGGCTTATTTCTGGCTTTGAGCTAATGCTAGTCCCTAGTCATAGGTTGAGCGGAAATTCATGGGAGTAAGGAGATAAATAGCATTTGGGCCCAAACCATTTCATAGCGGGCCAGATAGATTCATATCCATCTGTGGTTATCTCTCTAGGTCCTGAATGTATAGCTGGAATATATATATATAACTCAACAATAGGCAGGTTCTCCATATTGACTTCCTGACCTATTGATTAAAGGCTGTCAGGATAAGAAGGACCAAGTGAAAACTCCTAGTGAATCTTCTTCCTAACAAAGCAGTAAATCAGAACCAATGTCACATTTCTAGAAGAATTACAGAGATGAGTGCCACCACAGAAGACTTGAAAAATGCAAGGTTGGTGACCCACCAGTTGGCTGAACTCAGCTAGTACAGACTCATGATAATTTTTATCGTTATCACTTATTCATGAGAATAGTTATCATGAGATTTTTAACATTGCCTCACAACTTCATCTTTAGTGGTGTCATGTTGGTAGTTTGACATCAGCCATGGTGGGAGTATTTACACCGTGGCAATTGGTAAATAGTATACATCAGGGTATATATTTTTTTAATTTTCTAAGAGCCAATTTACCAGAAAATCCCTAGTAATATCTATGATAGTCTCATTTAGCTTACCTCTTTGGCTCATGCAGATGTATCTTGAACCTAGAGGGTGATGGAAGATTATATAAGAAAAATTCGATTGTAATTTCAGTTGTAGCTGCTATTCAAGATCTGGTGTATTCACTATCCATATCAACACCACTTCTGATACCTACTGTGAATGAATGGATGAACACATGCTTGCATGGAAAGGAGGGTGTTTGTATCAAGCAATAGTTATATTAGAAACAACAACTGGGTGTTGTTGCTTTATTAGAATTTAAGTATGGAAATAAAACTGCACTCCTGTACTGCAGAGATTTAAAAAATCTAAAAACTTCCCAGAGTCCTTCGCAGATAGAGTTTAAATTGTTACATAGGCCTGCCAATGAGAAACACCTGGAAAGACTTGACTTTAAAACCCTCCTTCTGTATCCAAAAGTTGCAGTCACACCTCCCTGATAGCCATATCACAGCTAATGAGAATGCTTCCAGATTCAGCAGTTGCAGTAGTGGCTTCCAGACTCCTCGGTGTCTTGACTGTAGTAGAGGCAGCAATTCCTCTGGGAGGTCAGGGATGCGATGTCTTGGATTCATTCCTAGAGCCTCAGTTTAGAGTTTAGCCTTCTAGCCCTTCCAGTGATTTTGTGAGCACCCAATTCACTGTATTAAATCCTCTTCTGCCTATACTAGCTAGAATGGACTGTTATTTGCAACTGAACTCTAATATACTTTCAAGTTTTTTTCCTCCCCATCAGTTTTCTTCTCTTTTATCCAAACATTTCTCATCTTACTTTCCAGAGATGAACTCACCACTTACATTTAGGAGGAAAAAAATGTAGACAAGATTATTAAACTTCTCAACTTTCTGCCTATCCATGTAAGGTCTCTGGACTCACCCTTACCTCCTCTTATCTGTCTTTTCTACAAGAGTAACCCATCCGACAAAAGAAACCTATCCATCTCTGCTGTGGATCCCATCTTTTTCCATTTCCACAATCTTCCCCTTTTCCCCTGTTTCTTGAACTTCTCACTCTCGTTATACTGTTCATTCACTATAGAACACCACCAAGCCTTTCTCATGAAAAACAAAAACAAAAGCAAAAAAAAAAAACCCAAATTTTTTGTTTCCCTCTAGCTAGGGTCACTGTCAAGCTTTCTATGAGAATCATCTATACTATTCATCTCCACTTCCTCCCTTTCAATTCACTCCTCTGTCCATGCAATTAACCTTTGTTGCCCTCCTTCCACTGAAATTGACCTCACTGAAGTAACCAATGACCACCTTATGGCCAAATCCAAAAGTTTCTTTCTTTTTTTTTTTTAGACAGAGTCTTACTCTGTCACCAGGCTGAAGTGCAGTGGCACGATCTTGGCTCACTGCAACCTCCGCCTTCCGGGTTCAAGCGATTCTCCTGCCTCAGCCTCCCGAGTAGCTGGGACTACAGGCGCACGCCACCACGCCCAGCTAATTCTTTTGTATT